TTTTATTTTCAGACAAACACAAACACACAGCACATATAATATAAAAGCCTCTTCAATTACACACAGTGTGTCGATTGGTTACAAAGTCTTTCTGTGNGGTCAAGGGTGTCCCTCTTTTCCAATCTGAAAATCTGGTCACCTTAGTGTAGCTGATTATACAAAGGTCACAATACTTCTAGGTAGTTAGATAGATAGTGAAAAAAAATGCCAGGTTTACATATTATTTAAACCAAAATTCATTATATCAGCCATAAATGATTAGCTAATCCCAGTCCCAAACCAAACAATCTATGGTACTTTACGAAAAAAACACACACATACCACCCTCTCTCTTTTTGATATTACAATCTGAACTCAAACTCTTCAGTCCAAATGAGAAAATATTAAAAGTGTATTTTAGAAATCAGGTAAGGGACAGCAGCAGAGGTGGGTCCTACCAGTTCGGACTGATTTGGCCAAACTGGTAGTAACTTGGCAGTCTGAGTCTCTGAAACCAGCAGTGACCCAGTCCTGCCACTCCCCAAACTGGTTCTCCTATGCCAGTGCCATCTTGTTTTTTGGTTCTGTGCATGCTCAGAACAATTTTAATTGCACAAATTAAAGTGAGCGCACGCAGGCAAAAATTTTGCGCACACCAAATGGGCAGTAATGCCAGCAGCAACTCACCCCGGGACAGAAGAATATTTTTAAAAAAATAATTAACATATAACTGAACCCAGCACTTGGTAATAATGTATTTAATACTAGGGTTCACCTGTAAGTGAAACCAGTCAAGGCCCAAGAGAGATGGGAAGGGGTTCTGAACCACTAGGACTTGCAGGAAGCAACATTTTCCCCCGTACTGCACCCACACCCCATAGCAGCCCAGGGTTGGAATATTAGTCCCCTGGTAGTCCCTGAGCAACGTGTCCGTGGGAGAAAGCTGCGACTTGGGGACTCGTGGGCACAGACGGGAGAAAGTCGCCCAGGATAGGAGAGACCGGGAGGAGCCCGAGTCAACTTCCATAAGGCAGGGAGACCCTCAATGGAAAAGGTGATGGTGATTTTCCGCGTACCAGCCGAGGCCTGGCTGACCGACACTGCAGGAGTGGCAGGGATGTCTTCAGCCAGGGCGTAGCAGTCATAGCGGCGGGCTTGCTGGCGGTGGGGCGGCTGGTTTCTGAGCGGCGCAGGAGGACCGTAGACAGGGAGATGCTGGTTGGCTTGCGCTGGAGGTGGCAGGGTGGCCCGGCAGACCTGTGCCAGGTGGCCTTTCTTGCCGCAGTGGCGGCACACAGAGGTATTGAAAGGGCAGGATGCCTGGGCGTGGTTGCCTCTGCAACTGAGCCAGGCGGCGGCCGCCGCCGCAGTGCAGGCTGGAGAAGGCTGAGGATGCTGGGGAATGGCCCTCAGGCGATCGACCTAGTCGTCACAGAACGGGTCAGGCAAGGGAACCAGTTCGTCAATGAGGCAGGTCGAAGG